CGGTGGAAACAGCATCAAAGACGCCCGGTGTCTGCAGGCAGAGCGAGGGAGCCGCCAGCGGGCGGCTTCGGTTCAGAACAAAGGGCCGCTCCCCGTGTGGGAGGCTGGAGGGCCCAGGTCTCTGCCCGCCAGGCTGCCCGGGCCCCTCGGAGGGCTGGCACGGGGTGGGAGGGCTCCGCGAGGCCGGGGGTGGGGCCGCGTCAGGCTAAGGGTCACCAGGCGTCCACCGCGGGCAGCCAGCTGCTTCAGCTCGGCCAGCCTCTGTCCAGGGCTCTGCAGTTTGTCCCCAGAGGCCGGGCCCTGCGCTGGGGACCAGCCGTCCTCTGAGCCCGGGCTGAGGAGCTGTGGGGGAGGGAGGGTGTGAGGGCCCTGGGAGGGTCTCCTCGCCATGCCAGCAGCCCCCTCCTGTGACTTTATCTGCAGGAGCTTGGGCATGTGTCCACAGGGGCCAAAAGCCGGGGGGGGGGGGGGGACGGAGTCCCTCCTGCCCACCTCCCTGCTCTCTGCTTTGTCCGCCCCTCCCCGCCCTCCTGTCTCCCCCTCTTTACTCTGCTGCCTCCTGCTGACCCCTCCCCCGCCCAGTCCTCCTTCCTCCTGACTCATCCCTCCCTCCCCCCTATAACTCCTCCCCTCATGGGACAGTGGGCTGGGGGGGCATAGACGGGAGGCTGAAAGGGGCACTGGGCACTGGAGGTTCGGGTTGGCAAGAGGATGGGGGGGGGGGTCCGGGCAGGGGGAGGACCCAGAAACTGTGAAAGGAGACCCCACCCGCCTGGGGTGGCAGGACCAGCAGGATGACTGGGGGCGGGGCGGGGGGGGGAGCATGGCACAGGCAGGACAGGGACAGGAGGCCTAGGGCATCTCGGGGTGATGCATGCCAAGATCAGCCCCCACCGCTTATCAGCACACTGTGCCCCCAGCAAACCCCATGAGCCCACTGTGCCCTCACACACGCTGTCCCCATCACTCTGCCCCCTCACCATCCTCGTTAGGAACAGGACAGGGGCACTGGCTGGAGAAAGGTGGGGAGCTCAGGGCCTCCATCAGCCCCGGTCCCATGTCCCCTGCTGGCTGGCCCTCCCCACCCCGCCCCGCGCCCTGGCTTCACCCTCAGGGGTGGAAGGTGGCATCTGGGGTCACAGCAGGCTGGCCCCCCTCTCCCTCGCCTCTCAGCCTCTCCAATACGCAGGTCCGGGCGGGGCGGCCAGCTCTGCGTGGTGTCCCCTGGCCGTCGGGGCTGCTGAGGGGGTGAGAACTGACGGAGCGGACCCTGCCTATTGGGTCCACTTATTAACCAACCTTATTAAGTACGAGTCTCCTCAGCGCCCCTCGGCGTGAGCCCCGTCCATCTCGCAGCCAGACGCCGGCACCGGCACGCCCGCCCGTCTGTTCAGGGCCCGGCCCAGGGGCGTCGTCGGTGTGTGTGTGTTTGCTGTACCCACGGGGCCCCTGCCCTCCGCCCGGGGGGCTCGGTGTTTCTGGGGGCGCGGGAATGAATGACTGGGAGTGGCCTGCGGGATGGGCCCCGGGGCCTCGAGCACTGTATCCGCCAGCACGCGCCTCCGCGCTCCTCCCCGGAGGGCAGAGGCGGCGCGGCGGAGCGGAGCGGCCGCCGGCCCTTCCCGTGGGCCGCGCGCTGGTGCTGCGGGCACAGCGTGTGCGGTGCCGGAGTCACGCCAGCCTTTAGCACCGCAGTGGCCCCGCGGGCGCTGCTGCTGCATGCTCCTGCCCGCTTTATCCGGCGGCTGTGGCTGCCATCTGCGGGACCCACCGACGGAGTCCAGGAAGCAGGGGGCCCAGGCTCTCCGCAGGGCGGCACCCCTTCCTCTGGCCGCGGGACTCCCAGCCTCCGGCTCTGGGGACGGGCGGGCGCTTTAGAGTTTCCAAGGCGCCAGCCCCAAGGTGACGCCACACACACACACACACACACACACACACACACACACACACACTCGCACACGCACACGCACACGCACACACACACGGCAGCAGGCGGAGGGGAACATGAGCCAGCACAGATGGAAAGTGGGGGAGAGGGGATCCCCCAAGCTCTCCGGAGGCAGTTTCCATTCACAGAGAAACACAGGAAGCAGGAGGATCATCCCGAAACTGCTTGTGAGGACGCGGGTGGGGTGATGTCAGGACCCTGTCCCTGAGCACGGTTCCCACCTGGCAGGGCGGGGCCCGCAGCTGGCCGGCAGAGGCACAGCGACTTCTGAGGTCGGAACAGGAAATGGTTAATAGTGTTTGCAAATAAAAACTTTCTGTTCTAGCCTGTTTTTGAAGCATTTCCCAGAAGTTAAAAGAAGGTGCCTAACTTGTCGGTACAATTCAAGAACCAGTTTTTAAGGGTTAGAAATTCTTCATCACCGCTTAGGAAGCACCAGCTTACCACTGCAGAACATCTCAAACCACCCTCTGACAGCTCCCTTCTCCTTCCTCCCCACGTGCTTGATAATGAACTTTCCAAGTAAAGTTCATTTCTCTCTTCTGTATAAAGTTCTCTTCTCTCTCCCGTATAAAACTTTGGGAAGTAAAGGCGTTTGCTGTAAAACGCTGCCCACAGCCGGGGTTCCTTCAGTTCACAGGCTGACGCTCTATCCACTGGGCCAAATCAGCCAAGGCATATCAGCTCCATTCGTAATTTCACACTTTTTGAAGAAGACATTGGTCTTGAAGTTATAGAAGGCTTCACCCACAATATCTGTATCTTTCGTCTCTGGGGGCAGGTCCTTTGAACTGATGGCGACAGTGCCGTGTTTCCAATGAGTTTGGGGTTTGAGAGAAGAGTGAGAAGCCAGCATGTTGGTGGCCCCTAAGTTTCAACCCAGATGAACAGGAACCAAATTTAATTTTAATTTTAATTTTTAAAGAATCAAATGCTTGTTGATTTTTTTCTTTTGAGAGAGAGAGAGAGAGAGAGAGAGAGAGAGAGAGAGAGAGAGAGAGAGAGAGAGAGAGACATTGATGTGAGAGAGAACATCAGTTGGTTGCCTTCTGTTCATGTCCCAATTGGGGATCCAACTGGCAACCATTAAAGTATTTGGGATAGGGTAAGGCTCCATAGCTCAGGGGTTAGAACACTTGTCTTGTAAAGTACTTGGGATGATTCCCCAACCAGCTGAGCCACACCAGCCAAGGCAAGAACCACATTAAAAAAAATTTTTTTTAAATACTTTTCACCCTCTACCATGCACAAGAATAAAGACAGCCACGTGCCTGTTTGTTAAGGTGGTGGGGGTCACAAGAGATCCTCATTCCCCCCCTTATTTCCTGAACTTTCTAGAATGCTGTTAGTAGTTTAAATGTGAATTAACAGTTTAAATTTCCAAATGCGTGTGTTTGCGGTATGCGTGTATATGTGTTTGTGTGCAGGCATGTAGGTGCTGCGTGGTATATTAATGTGCAAGCCTGTGTGTGAGCATTCAGAAATCCAGGACTGCAGGATACCAGTTAACGTGGCTATGATTGGTTGGCTAACACCTCCCAAACTCTCCCAAAACAGTGCTTAGGAAACTGGAGCTAGAAGTTTATGTCTCTCTTTTTATGTGTTTATTTATTATTATTTTAAAATATATTTTATTGATTTTTCACAGAGAAGAAGAGAGAGGGACAGAGAGTTAGAAACACTGATGAGAGAGAAACATCAATCAGCTGCCTCTTGCACATCCCCCACTGGGGTTGTGCCCTCAACCAAGGTATATCCTTTGACCGGAATCGAACCCGGGACCCTTCAGTCCTCAGGCCAATGCTCTATCCACTGAGCCAAACCGGTTTTGGTTATGTCTCTCTTTTTATACCAGGGCTCTCTCCTGTTCATGAACTCAGAGGAAGGCAGCCTGGAGGGAGTATGGTGACTCCGACTGTCATCGAGGATCAGGGTCTCACCTTCCTGCTTCCTCAGCTCATGGCCCCCAGCTGCAAGGTGAACCGTGGTCTACGGTGGCTGCTGGGTGCCTCCATCGTCCCCGCCCCCCTGCACTGAGGACGGTGGGCCTGGGGGCTGGTCCCTCTCGGCAGTCACAAGAGGAAACCTGCCTCCTGGCGGGCCGGCTGCCAGTTCCATGTCTCCGGCCGCTGCCCAGAAGAAAGCCGCCCTGGCAGCTCCTCCAGCACCGAGGGGGCTTCGCTAGGAGCGTGTCAGCCCCGCCTCCACGTGGCCCCTGCCCTCAGCCATGGCCCCCAAAGTTGCCTTCCTTTGGCTCTCCTTTGCGTTTTCCAGCCCCTCCACGCTCTGCCTGACCTCGACTCACTTTTCCTCGCTGTCCCTGGCACACCACCGAGCTCCTGAAGCCACACCGAAAAGGCGGGCAAGGCCAGACACCCACGCACAGAAAGCACAAGGGCGTCTGGGGCGGCAGCCGAGTGGTGGCCCCAGCGGGCCCAGCGGCAGGGGGCTGGCTTCCAGGCGCTCACCATCACTTCATACAGGTCCCGGAAGTGGCACCGGTGCGTTTGGGCATTTTTACGTAAATGGTGCACATTTCCAGCCAATAAAACGTTTGGAAAAATTGGCAATGATACATATTCTAGAAAGTTCTTGGCAGCTTTGCCTATAATGACAAAGAGCCGCACCGGCAGGAGTAGAGGCGGGGCAGGGCGGGTTACGGCAGAGCCGGGCTGTGAGCAGGGGCCCCTGTCCAGCGTGCATGAAACACAAGGCACAGCATGATCTGTCGGGTATGCTTTTCCCGTCTGTGAAGCACACACACGGATATCTGCACGCACACGTGCTTGGGAGCTCGCGTGGACGTCAGCGCGGGGGGGGGGGGGGGGGGGGAGCTCCGGTGAGGGGGGATGGGCAATCTCCTCGCACTGGGTTGTTTTTCCTTTTTGTTTCCTTTTTTTTCTTTTTTTTTTTCTTTCTAGAAATGAGAAATGTATTGCTGGCTTGCGTCATGAAAAATACTCAGGAGGATAAGAAAGCGGCCTGTCTCTGTGTGTCTGAGCCGAGCCGGTTGCCATGGAGACTGGACGGTTGTCAAGGCAGCTATTGGATGGGCAGGGGGGGCTGCGGTGCTTCCTGGGAGCCGGAGCTGGCACAGCCCGCAGTCTGCACTGCGGGGCCGGCGCCAGCATGGACGGGATGGACGTGTGGGTCAGCACCCTGGCCCAGCTGATGGCCAAGAGGAAGCCCGAGGACACCTGGGAGCTGGTCCTGGAGGAGAACCTGGCCTCGGGGCAGCTGGACAGCGGCAGTCACGAGTACCGGCTGAGGGGGCTCTCCAGGTTTGGTGGAGGGGAGGGGTCTCCTGCGGCTTCCGGAGGGGCCACGGCCCTCGGCTGGCCCTGAGTCCTGAGCCGGCCTGGGTGTGACCTGGCTTCTGAGGCGTGGGCACAGGGGCGTGTCTGGCCTGGTCCTGTCCCCCCATAGGTGGTGGGCTGGGTGCTTGTGCTCCCTGGAAGGGGGGGCCGTGCCTGCCCAGTCTGTTTCAGTGGCAGCCTCAGGCCCTGCCTGGCCCGAGGGGACCCCGGAGCCCGGTGGGTGCCCTGTCCTGGCCGGGGCCGGTGGGATGGCGCAGCCGCCCAGACAAGGAGGGCTTTGTCTGCTCCCCGAGGCCTCTCCTGGTTTCCATGGCAGCGCTGACAGGAGCAGGGGAGGGGCAGGGCCATGGCCACCGCCCAGCTCCGCAGTGATCCAGGCGGGGGCACCAGGAAGCTGAGGAGGACACGGACACAGCGCAGCCCAAGACAAGGAGCCCACGTGCCCAGCCTGGGCTGCGGGCGGCGGGAGCCCGGTGGTCACGGGTCACTGCGCCAACCTCCACCTTCATGGCCATGACGGCAGCTGTGTCCGCACGGCGGCCGACCCAGACCTGCGGGATCCCCCTCGCCAGGCACCCGGAGGAGGCCAAGCTGTTGGCGGGACCTGGCGTCCCCGGGCCTGAGAGACACCTGTAAACACGCGCTGCCCCCGCAGCCCGCGTGGAGAGCAGAGCGGCTTCCAGCAGGCAGGTGGTGGGCGGTCACGCAGGCCGCGCTCTGAGCCGGCCCGGGCCGCCTGCAGCCCGGGAGGTGTCGCTAACCAATGCAGGCGAAGGACGCTCAGCTGGCACACTCTCCGCGTGCGGGCGCCCCCGGCCGCTCTCGAAAAGGTGCCGAGCAATGCCGCCGGCACGGAAAGTTCCGCCGATGCCCGGAGGGAACATGCAAGAAGACCTCGCACGAGAGCGGGTTCCCACACCTGCGCGCATGTGCCTCACCGGGTCACCTGTCTGGGACCCGAGGGCCCGCCCCGCCCAGCCCCAGGGACTCACCAGCCCCTTCACCGTCCAGGGAGCCACGCAGCTGCTTCCCCTCTTCCATTCGGGTCCCCTACTCACATGCTCAAAGCCAGTGTCACACGGGTGCAGGGTGCCCCCCACCATCCAGAACCTCTGCCCACCCTTCTCTGCCTCCTGCACTGTCCCCACCACCCACACAGCCCCTGACTTTATCCCCCCCCTTCCTTCCCAGGTGGGCTCCTCCCTCCACAGACGCACTGCCCAGACCCCGCAGGCGCCCTCTCTTCCTGCCCTTGCCAGGACCCCAGGGCTGTCTGGCGTTTGGTAACATTTCTTCAGGGCGATGAGGCCCCGGGTCACACAGCGACAGAAAAGCAGCAGGTGGCCTCTCACCGTCAGGCCAGGCTTGGCCACCCAGCGGTGCCAAGCTGATGGAAGGGGCTTGCTTTTCAGACCGTGGGCTGCAGACAGGGGCCAGGCCCCTGCCTCCTGTCCCTGCGCAGATGGGCTCAGGTTCCTGGAGCTCACGCTGGGACCCTCTCTGGGCCGTCAGGGCTGAGGGCTGTGGGGCACAGGGGCAGGTCCCTGTCCCTCCTCTCACTCCTGCCTCTCCCTCCCCCTCTCCCCCAGGCTCCAGTGCAGCCGCTGCCAGTGGGGCTGGTCCTCTGCCCACGTGCACATCCTATTCCACGTGCGATGGGACAAGGACCGCCGCCTGGGGCTGGTGAAGATGCGGATCTGGGCCCAGGCGTGCCAGCTGTGCCCGCCGGACGCCCGGGGCGCCTGCCAGGTGAGCCTGCTGAACGTGCGGCTCTTCCTCAACAAGCTGGTCCTGTTCGTCCTGCAGCAGTGCTACCAGGAGAGCATCAGCTCCGACCAGTGCCCCGAGGTCTGCTTCGGGGACCACTGTGAGGCCTGCGACCTGGGCGTCTGCTTCTTCCAGAAGCCCCCGGACCCCGCCTGGGAGCCCGCGACCAGGAGCCCCAGCGCCGTCCAGGCCATGCCAGCCCTGGGCGGCGCCGTGGCCAGCCGTGCCTGGGACTTCATCCCCCCGTCTGCGCCCGAGCCCCTCTCTGAGAGCAGCGGCTTCTTCAGCGAGGACGCGGACATCGTCACGGTCCCCTTCACCCTGGTCGGTGCGGGGAAGGACCAGGGCACCGCTGGCCCTGGGGAGGGCCCCCCCGGCGAGGCCGGTCCCCAGGGGCTCATGATCATCGGCGGCGGCGGCCCCGCCGACCAGCCTGCCAGCCTCGGGGCCGTGCCCACCAGCGTGAGCATCCTGGTCAACATCAAGACCCCCATCCTCCATGGCAAAGGCCACCTGCTCAAGAACATCAAGTCCTTCCAGGTCAAAGGCTTCATCTTCAAGGGCTTTGGCTCCCGTTTGGGCCAAGCCCCGGGCCCAGACGCCGATCCCAGCAGCGACGGTGCGCCCGCCGGAGACGCCACCCTGCCCGTGCCCTACGTCCTGGGCCTCACGGAGAAGGGCGAGGGCTCCATCACCTTCCCCTTGTCCCTGGCCAACGTCACCCGGGGCCCCAGCCCCCTCCTCGACCTCCACAGCTCCCTGACCTTCCCCTTCGTCGTCTCCGACCAGAGCCAGGGCGGGGCAGAGCGCGGCTCGGACCCTGCCCTCAGCCCCGCGTCCTCGGGCAGCCGGGGGTCCCTCATCATCCCCTCCTCCGTCTTCAGCACCATGCAGCTCGGGGGCCCGCCAGGCAGCGGCTGCCGCAGGAGCAGGCACTGCGACAGGCACCGGCGCCGCCGGGCCCGGAGGCCTCGGTCCCAGCCCCGCCCGGAGGAGGACTTCTTGGAGGTGGAGGACAACTGGTGCTGGCAGGGTTTGGATCCCTACGAGGATGTCTGGGTCTGGATGTGCATGATCTTCTTCGTCCTCTGGACCTTGTACCTGTGCTCGTCTTGATCGTCCCCACAGCGTCTCTCCCTCCGCAGGGCTGCCCAGACCCAAAGCAAAATGCTGCTCCCCACCAGCCCCCGCTGCTCCCCCCCCACCCCCACCCCCACCCCCGACCCGAGCTGAGGCCTCCCAGTGCGCACAGCTGCTCCCTGGACCTCTTGCTTCTGTGTTCTCTCTCTTGACGTGACTCAAGCAGTGGTTCCGTGATGCCCACGTGTGATGCCCACGTGTGATCATGCCCCTGTGTGATCCCCAGCTGTTCCTGTGTGTGCAGACATGTGTGTGTGTGTGTGTGTGTGTTACACGCCATTACAATAAAAGTCAAAAAGAGAAGACCGTACACATTAAAGCCAGCGCCTGAGAGAAGGTGGTGAATGGGAGCGCGGTGGCCAGGGGCCCCTGGCACTCCCCCCGGGCGGGGTGGGGCTGGGGCCCAGGCACAGCTCCTGTGGGACTCCCCTTTGCTGTGCACGGTCCCGGGGCCACGTCGAACTGGTGGGACCGGTGGGGGACTGGTGGGCAGGTGGGAGGAGTCCCGTCCACCCCACACTAATGGCACACCCCCTGCGCAGAGACCCTGCCCTGCCAGGACGCCTTCAAAGGGTTAACACCGGGACTGCTAGGGCGGGGGATCACCAGCCTGGGGTCTCCTCGGATTAGGGGGCTCCCCTAGGCCAATCCGCCCCCAGCCCACCCTGCCCACCGGAAGGCCCCCTGGATGGGGTGAGGGGTGGGAAGCAGGACCCCGACTCGTCGCTCCTCCAGCCCGCCTTCCCCCACCGGCTGGCCGCCCGTGCTGTCCTGCGGCGCCCCCGTGTGGCCGCCGGCCGCATCGCCGCCCTGCGTTGGGGGAGCGGGGAGGCAGTCGCCGTTGTTAAACTGTTTAATCAGCTGGTTTAGTTAAAAGCCAACCAACCCCACCCCTTAGCAGTGTCTCTAACATTCGTCTTAAGAATAATTAAATTTTGTTTAAATCATTAATAATTAATTTACTAGAATTAAAATTCACTAATAAAAATGAGAGCACAGCCAAAACCGGTTTGGCTCAGTGCATAGAGCGTCGGCCTGCGGACTGAAAGGTCCCAGGTTCGATTCCGGTCAAGGGCATGTACCTTGGTTGCAGGCACATCCCCAGTAGGGAGTGTGCAAGAGGGAGCTGATCGATGATTCTCTCTCATTGATGTTTCTAACTCTCTATCCCTCTCTCTTCCTCTCTGTAAAAAAAATCAATAAAATATATTTAAAAATAGTAAATAAAAATGAGAGCACATGCAATATGCCCATTTGATCTGTGGTGGACCCATTCTTGGGCACATCAGCTATTCTGATCTGTACGCACCTTCATAACCACAGCTCCTCAGGCACAGGGACACTCCTCACAGCGCCGAGGGCAGCTGGGGGCTGAGGTGCAGGCCAGCCACACAGAGCCACCCCCGAGCCAGCACCAGCGTCTGCACCTGAATCCGGCCTGAATCCACCCGGGGCCAGTACGTGAGCCCCTGCACAGGCCTCAGCGATTCCTGGAGGGCAAAGGCCCCCCAAGTGCACCGACTCTGGCGGCTTCTGGGCCCGGCCTCGGGCTTCGCACGTTGGTATCGAGGTGGGCTGGGAGGAGGGCAGACCTGTGCCCCATTCACCGCACTGGAGGACGCCCGTGCCCCCTCCCGGTCTGGAAGCAGGTGTCACGTCCAGGTCTCTGTCGTTTCGGGCTGTTTGACCCTTGGACGCCGGTCTCACCCTCCAGGCAGACAGCTGAGATGATGGGGGGTCGGGCCGTGGCTCCCCTTCCTGAGAGTCCGGGCCTGGGGAGCCCCAGGGGGATGGGTGAGGCTCCTGACCACCTCTATGTTCTCCCAGGGCCTGGGGGCCTCAGGTCCCCATGGCTGGGACTTCGCCCACCTGGCCCTTGACTGAGCTTCACCTCCTGTTCGTTGTCCTGCTCCCAGGCCCCGTCCCGCTCTCCTCTGAGCTGGAATTTCCCGGGACGCGGACGGTGGCTGAGGTTCCTCGTGTCTGCTAATGTCTGCTTAGTTTGAAAGGAGCCTGGTCCAGCCAGGACACCGTCAAGAGAAGCCGTGTTATCCGCTTTGGGATGCATTTGAAACGGCTCCTTAATAAACTCACAGAGGCTACCCTGTCCGACACTGCATGTAGCCACCGCCCTGACGACAGGGTGGTTCTTGTTCCTGACTCCATTTAAAACACACACACATATTTTTACTTATTTCAGAGAGGAAGGGAGAGATAGAAACATCAATGATGAGAGAGAATCGTTGATCAGCTGCCCCCTGCACCCCATCCCCCTCCCCACTGGGGACCGAACCCGCAATCCAGGCGTGTGCCCGTCCCTGCACCTGTGGCCTCTCGGATGTGCAGGGGCCTTAATCTGCATTTGACTTAATCCTTAATGACTCACGGCGGCAAACCCTTTCATGGGCTCATCGGCCACTTGAATACCTTCCTTTTTGAAAGGTCTTTATAGTGGCTTTGGGACATGTTCCTTAAATGCTTAAAAAGTGCGAGTCCTGCAATTTGGGGGGAATGTTCCATCAATGATGTTGCTGTTTGTCTACTAAATCCTCTAATTTTATCGGCTTTGCCCTCCTTCCCTCCGCACACAAGAATAATGCCATTACTGGATCTTCTGAAATGCACTTCGGACCCTATTGCCCCCGAATGTCCCCCTTTCTCCAGGCTTCGTGGCCGAGCCTGTCCTCACATTCTTAGGTCCCCCCCCTCTCCCTCTCTCTCGTTTCCTCCTCCCTAACAGAAAGCATACGTGTTCTGAGAACTCAGCCCCTGGAGCTGGATCTCAGGGGCACCTCCACAACCCAGCCTGTGGCAAGTTACCAAGGGCCCAAGCAGGAGGGAGTTCCCAGCTGAGCCCCATGGGGGCCTTCGGATCGAGTCCCGCTCTCCTCACGCCCAGGCTCGCCTGCTCACCTCCCAGCATATCTTCCTCCCCTCCCTCCTCACCTAGTGCCTCCCAGCTTCTGAGTCTGGCCCAGCTTTGCCCGAGGACGAGATCAATGACACAGAGAGCAAAGACCAGGCTGGTCAGTTGTCTGCGTTGCTGGGAGTCTGGCTCCTGCCATTACTGGGGTGTGAGGGGTCACCGGGTGGTCACAGGTGGCCAGGAGGGTGCGGCTGCTCCTGAGGGTTCTGCACAGCCTCGCGGGGACATGAACGTGCCCTCCCAGCCAGGAGGGGCTAGGCTGACGCCTCCGTTTACTGGTGTTGACAGCACAGATGATCTAAGCATATCCTCTCATAAAATTACCTCCAGCAGCCCGGGCCTTGACCCGTCTTAGTGAGTGGCTCCTGTTCCCAGACTGTGTGTGGGGACCGCCAGCTCCCCCGGCTGTTTGTCAATGGAATCTCCTGAGTCACGAATGGACAGATGGCCCGGTGATGACCGCGGAGCGCGCTTGTCGATCTGCCTCGTAACGTTCTCCACTGCCTTTCTTTTTTTAATCCTTACCCGAGGATATTTTTTCCATTGATCTTTAGAGAGAGAGTGAAAGGGAGGGAAGAGTGAAAGAGAGAGAGAGAGAGAGAGAGAGAGAGAGAGAGAGAGAGATCGACTAGCTGATTCCCACATGTGTCCTGTCCAGGATAGGGGATCAAACCTGCAACCGAGGTATGAGCCCTTGACCGGGAATTGAACCTGCCACCTGTCAGTCTGCAGGCCGGTGCTCTAACCAGTGAGCCACCGGCCAGAGCCACTTGTTCTTTCCGAACTTTCCGCTGTGAGGTCAGCCCTGGAAATGTCCTCCGAGGAATCTGTCGGGCACAGAAGGTCCCTGGCGGCTGCTCTCCGAGCCTTTTCTCTGAGCAACTCCCTGGAGAGTCCACAGGGCAGGCAAAGCCCTTTGTCAACTTGATGGAAGGTCAACACAAAACAGAACCCAAACCAACCAGCAGCTAAACCTGGAGAGACGACATGAGGCCAGAGGGAGCCACAAGCCAGGCTCCGGCCCCAAACCAGCAGCTTCCGCGTCTTTAGAGCGGACCCAGTGACCACAGCTGGGTCTGTGCCGGCGAGAACATGGGCTGTGGAGTTTGGGAGAACCCGGGAGGGTTGTGACTGCTGGAGCCTGGGTCCCCCCCACCGGGGGCATGTGGGAGCCAGGTGCTGTGGCAGCCCAGCCCCTGCTGGACACTTGGCCTCCTGCTTGTCCAGGGCAGTCACCACTGCAGGTGGGGCTCCAGCCGGGATGAAGTCCTGACCTAACGCCTCATGGCCTCAGGGAAGGCGTGCTCTGCAACCCTGAGCTTTTCCAGCGGTGCGCATGGGGCATTCTGGAAAAGCACAGAGCTTCACGTGACCTCACGTCGGGCATGCATGCCCGCGGGGCGGAGATTTATGGACCGGTTTTGACCGAAGGGGAGATAAAATTTGCAGCTAGGAGTCAGAAAGCCTTGTGGGGCAGCTGAGGTTCTTCCTATGGCTGCTGCAAGTTGAAAACATGTTGGCCAGCTTTTAAGATGTGTGCATTTTTTTAAAAAATTTATTGATTTTCCACAGAGAGGAAGGGAGAGGGATAGAGAGCTAGAAATGTCGATGAGAGAGAAACATCGACCAGCTGCCTCCTGCACATCCCCTACCGGGGATGTGCCCGCAACCAATGTACATGCCCTTGACTGGAATCAAACCTGGGACATTCCAGTCCGCAGACCGACGCTCTATCCACTGAGCCAAACTGGTTTTGGCAAGATGTGTGCATTTTAGAGACAGGCAGGCAGTTTTCACAGACACTTGTTCCGGTGATCATAGGTTTTTTATGTGTGTGTGTGTGTGTGTTTTAATAAATATATTTTATTGATTTTTTTATAGAGAGAAAGAGAGATAGTTAGAAACATCGATGAGAGAGGGAGACATCGACCAGCTGCCTCCGGCACATCCCCAGTAGGTGCCCTTGACCGGAATCGAAACCGGGACCTTTCAGTCCGCAGGCCGACGCTCTACCCACTGAGCCAAACCGGTTTCGGCAAGATGTGTGCATTTTAGAGACAGGCAGGCAGTTTTCACAGACACGCGTCCCGGTGACCGTAGGTTTTATTGGGCACCTGCTCTGTGCTGGAAAAGCAAGACCAGCGGCGCTCCACGGCCGGCGGCCGGAGCGGAGCAGCGGGTGGGCCCGCGGGAGCTTGGCTGTGGGCGCCGTGGGTGGTGCCCCTCGTGGGGGGACCCTCTCGGGGGCACTCACGTGGCTGCTGTGTGTCTCCCCTGCACATGGGACTCAGGCTGCAGTCTTGTCTCCGGAGGACGGCGGGGCGGCCTCCTGGGGAGCCTGCAGCGCCCTGTGCCGCAGCTCCAGCTTCTGCGCCCATTCT